TAAGATGACCAGTAGGGGAGACGAAGGATGGGCGCCATATGTTGTCTGGAGAAGGCGGGGCTGCCTCTTCAACAAGGTTCAAGTCAAAACGACGGTCGGAGGGGCCAGACATTTTCAAAGGTGTTGAAGAGAGAAGAGGTCGGACAAATCAAGATCTTAGAAATGCAAGAATGGAGCTTCTACTGGTGGATATTCAAATGTGCTTTGGAACTTAATGTCAGCCCCTATAAAAATCTGCACTCGACGAAGCTTCAGAAATCGAAGAGGCGCCTGCTCAGAAATCGAATAGGCGTTTGCTTTCTCAAAAGCTGGGCTGCTCAGAGACCACGAGGGTCTATCTCAGAAATCGAAGAGGCTTGCTTTCTCAAAAGCTGGGCTGCTCAGAGACCACGAGGGTGATCTCAGAAATCGAAGAGGCACCTACTCTTCCAGCCTTGTCAGCACCTGTCACACGCACACTCAGCTTTGTGGAAATTATGGGCATTCTGTCGAACATTTCTGGCGAAGTAGAAAGCACATGAATCGTATTGTTCAATCACCCACTTCCCACACGCAACAGTAGCTCATGGGTACCACAGATAACTTTGCCAAAGTTCTCTGACAAAGTTGAGACACGTGAAGCTTGCAGCTCCCACTACATCGCTCTGACCAAGAAGGGTAAAAGAATAGCAAAGAAACAACACTAACAAAGTTTAGACACATAAATTTTGAAGGTCTAGCTACCATATTATTACCCACAAGGGTAAAAGAACAGTACCACTGCTGGATAATTGGAAAGTCCCGGTGTGTCAACCTCTGTGCTTCGTGGCAAGGTAGACTAGCAAACATGCCCAACCTTTACTCACATTCGAGAAAACACTTCCAACAAGATTGCTTGCTCCAAAATCGAAGAGGCACCTGCCCTCCGAATCTCGAGAGCCAGACTCCCAACATGATTACTTTCTCAAAAATCGACGAGAGGGTAAAGGAACAGTACCACTGCTGGATAATTGGAAAGTCCCTGTGTGTCAACCTCTATGCTTCGTGGCAAGGTAGACTAGCAAACATGCCCAACCTTTACTCACATTCGAGAAAACACTCCCAACAAGATTGCTTGCTCCAAAATCGAAGAGGCACCGCCCTCCTGAATCTCGAGAGCCAGACTCCCAACATGATTACTTTCTCAAAAATCGAAGAGAGGGTAAAGGAACAGTACCACTGCTGGATAATTGGAAAGTCCTTGTGTGTCAACCTCTGTGCTTCGTGGCAAGGTAGACTAGCAAACATGCCCAACCTTTACTCACATTCGAGAAAACACTCCCAACAAGATTGCTTGCTCCAAAATCGAAGAGGCACCGCCCTCCGAATCTCGAGAGCCAGACTCCCAACATGATTACTTTCTCAAAAATCGAAGAGACACCGCTCTCTGAATCTCGAGAGCCAGACCCCCAGCAGGATTGCTTTCTCAAAAATCGAAGAGGCATCGTTCTCCGAATCTCGAGAGCCAGATCCCCGACAAGATTGCTTGTTCGAAAACCGAAGAGGCACCACTTTCCCAACTTCAAGAGCTGGATCTCCTTGGATAAAGCTTGTCTGTAATCTTCACACGCAACATCAGCTTTCTAGATACCACAGACCACTTTTTCAAAGTGCTCTAATAGAGTTAAAACATGTGAAGCTGGCAGCTCCCACTACCGTGCTATGACCAAGCAGGGTAAAGGAATAGCATTATTACTTGATGTTAGGGAGACTCCTATATATGTCGACCTCCATCCCCAACGGACAGGCAGAGTGCAAAAATGCTCAACCCTTCCTCTTATCTGAGAGGGCACTCCCAACGAAGCCTTTCGAAATATTCAGCTTTCTTTCCCCCCGATAATACCTCTGTAAACAAGCTATACTAGAGCAAGAATATCTCATATCATCAGGGTTAAAAGCAAGAGTATCCCATATCATGCTTTTTCCCTGTCTTTTCCTTTGGCCTTGTTCTTACCTGCAAGACAAGGAGAAAGAGAGCAATCAGTCAGCACTTGGAATCAAGCTTCCAGCCAGGAACTGACTGCCTGGAACCCCTTACCTGATTACTTACCTGGCATTGCTCTCGAGTACTCATCTTCAACATTTTATGCTTCCAGGGAAGATACCGCATCTGCCTGAGGAACAGATAGGGCAAGTGAGAAGGATACAAGGAAGCATGTGAGAGACAAGCGTAACAGCACACGTGCCGATACATCCACTACTCTGTCAAAAGCAAAAGTATCCCATATCAGCAGGGTCGAACGTACTCTAGATTTGATGGACTTGTTTTGACCCTCAAATTCTTCAGTCGGCCTTATACTCTGGAGGAAACCAGAAAACCCTCCAGCCCAGTTCAAGAATAAGCCTGTGGAAAGTTACTTCTTCAAAAGCAAAAGTATCCCGTATCATCTCTTCTCATTTTTCTTCTCTTTATCCTTCATGCTGCCTGCAAGATAGGGAGAATGTGAACAATCAGCCGGAGCTCTGATTGCTTACCTTGTCTGTCACCTCTTTCAGCAGATCCCCTAGCTCGGCGACTTGGGGGACTCCTACTACATGGTTTGTATCGCGCTTGACCAAGCCTGAAACTACAAGTAAGCTTCAAATGAAATTGACACATTACCTTGTGCATCTCCACCAGTTACAGATACCACCCCTGGATGGAGGAAGAGTACTTCCAGAAAAGATGCCACATCTACCTATGAGACAGATAAGGCAAGTCAAGACGATACCACACTCCGGTACTTAGAAGTTTCGTGGTTACGAGATCATTCTCCCACAATATTTCCTAATGTCATTTGTACTAAATCATTCACTTTGTACTCACTAAAGAAGAGCTTGAACCTATGTACTTGTGTAAACCCTTCACAATTAATGAGAACTCATCTATTCCGTGGACGTAGCCAATATGGGTGAACCACGTACATCTTGTGTTTGCTTTCCTATCTCTATCCATTTATATACTTATCCACACTAATGACCGGAGCAATCTAGCGAAGATCACAAAAAGTGACCGTTTTCGCTACCTAGGATCTATCTTACAAGAGAACGGAGAAATAGATGGAGATCTCAACCATAGAATACAAGCTGGATGGATGAAGTGTAAGAGTGCATCCGGCGTGTTGTGTGACCGTCGTAGGCCACTGAAGCTCAAGGGAAAATTTTATAGGACGGCAATAAGGCCATCGATGTTGTATGGCACAGAATGTTGGGCGGTGTAGCATCAACACGTACACAAAATGGGTGTAGCGGAGATGAGGATGCTTCGTGGGATGTATGGGCACACGAGAAAGGATAAGATTGGGAATGAGGATATCCGAGGTAAAGTAGGAGTAGCCAAAAGTGAAGGAAATATGAGAAAAAATCGGTTCCGGTGGTTTGGACATGTGCAAATAAGGCCTACTGACGCTCCGGTTCGAAAATGTGACTACGGGACAGAGGTTCAGGGCCGAAGGGGTAGAGGAAGACCTAGGAAAACTTTGGAAGAGACCCTAAGAAAAGACTTGAGTACTTGGATCTAACGGAGGACATGACACAAAACCGAGCGCAATGGCGTTCTAGGATTCATATAGCCGACCCCACTTAGTGGGAAAAGACTTTGTTGTTGTTGTTGTTGTTGGTCAATTTCTCCCAAAACTTTATTTTTCTAATTGCAAAAAGGTAATTTTATCCCTAATGTGGACACATATTGCTTTTTTATTTCTCTTCTTCTTCTTCTTCTTCTTTTCAACTAGTTCACTTAGTACACTTTGTATTTGAATTTTAGGGTTTAAAAAGTTCGGGGAGAAATTGCCCAATTGTAAAAGTTTAGGGGATAATCGGCTAAAACTAAAATTCAGAAGAAGAATTAATCAATTATAAAAGTTCACGGTAAATCGCATATAAAATGACAAAAGTGCACTCCTAATCTTTTGGATAGTTTAACATTATATCAAAATCCACTCATTTATTTTCTCATTTACATGTACATAACCTAACTTCCACTTTATTTTATTTTATTTGTAGAAACGTTAATTTATAACCTACCTTCCACATTTTTGAACAGAACAAGACCTATCTTCTACTTAAATTCTCATCGTGTTACACATATATAATCATTATCGTTTATCTTCTCATTTGAAAATTGAAATGACAAATTTTTTATTCTGATCTAATCACAATTATGGGAGGAAAGATGCAAAGAAGGAACACTTTTATTAATGTGGTTTCCCCCTCACATCAACGCACTAACACAATATTTAATAAAGTTTAACGATAGATACGATATTGATTTATGATAGTAAAATTGGGAGACGATATTGATCAATATTTGAATTGAGAGACTAAAGTGAAATTGCCATCAATTTTAGTAATCTTTTGTGATAATTTAGCCTAAAAAATATTGAATTATGATTATGGTCAGGGGCTTTTTTGTGATAAGAATAAAATCTTGGGGGTTTGTGTATAATTTCCCAAAACGTAAAACTATATGTGCAAGAAAGTCGGCGATTCCTTCCATGACTGTTGTTGGTCTTGGACTCCAAGATCAGCCAATATGGCTGCTAACCGTTTGGTTTCGCAGAGTTATGTGGAGATGTGTGACTTTATTTGGGTAGAAAGATCTTCATCTTCACTTATTCATGTACTTAACACTGATAGACTACCTTGCCCACATTAATTTTGTTCGGTTGTGCAGGGGGTGATGCTAGTTGCTTCTTTTTAGTGTCAAGTTTTTCTTCCCCTTGCACTTCCGTCTTTGTTTTTTGGTTGCTTGCCTCATTGTGGGCTTTTGTTATAATCTCGGCATCTTTGCCCTGGTTAATATATCCAGTTATCCTCCAATATTATTGGAAGACTACGGATAAATGTCTTCACGTACCGGTCCGAACTAGCTGTTCAGCTGTCAACACAATTACCAAACCACCCTCGTATCAGATCGTAAACTACCGGTAGTGTTCCGTAAATATCAGTACAACCAGTGGTTAAATGGTCAGTAAATTCAACGCCCCATCTGCAGTGAAAAAACCCGAAAGCATAAAACCCGTGAAATTAGAATTTTCTGGGACCCCACTTTTCTAACCGTTGAAGGCGATCGTCGGATTTTTGGGTCTCAGAGAAATTAGGGATGTAGTTCTTGATTTTTCTGGATTGGGGCTTCGAATCCGATCGCGGCTAAGCTCGGTGAGATTTCTATTTCTTTGATTCAGCTATTTTCCATTATTTTAAGTAGGATTTTTGTTACTTTTAGGAGATTGAATTTGAATTTTTTTTTTTCCTGGAGTTTTGCTATACGGTTTATATTGTAAACTACGAAGGGCGGGTACGCTGCCCGGACGAACTGGCCTAACTCACGTCTGCCTGATTAGATACATGTTGTTGTTAGCTGGCTACTGGGTTTTCTTTAATTTTCAATTTTCTGGTTTATATAGAGATATATCTGATTGCTTGTGGATTATGGAGATTTGTCTGCGGAATTTGTGCTGATACGAATTTCGATGGCTGATTATGTGCACCGTTTGTGTTCATTTCTCAGGATTTTGAACGATTGTGATATATTGGCTGGAGATAGGGGATCATGTGATTAGTTAATGTAGGATTACATGTGCATATAGTTATGAGATTTAATTTTGCGTACGGGGGTGGTCTTTGTGTTATCTGCAATAGAGGGGTTGAAGCTAAGCTGTTTTGTTTGAGAGGGTAAGATGCCATCTTCTTACTTGTCGAAGATTAGGACTGCGTTGCAGAGGTCGATTGTTGGGCAGGAAGGAGCGCTTCAGGAATCAGTAGATGGGTTAATTGGGCAGGGAAAATTGTTGTTTGGAAATTCTAAGTTGTTCCAGTCTCCGTTTTCAACTATTTCAGGCCTCCAAGCATTGTTTTCACCAGGCATTGTTTTTGCTGCGAGGTTGGATTCGCAGCTAGTTAACAAAAGAAGGAACATTTCTGTTGTTGAAGAGATTTCGCGCATTATTTCAACCCCATCTGTGTCAGGGCCTTCAATTCAGGTTTGCGGGTATCATATCGATTGTGTGCTTTCTGAGCCCAGTCAGTTTGTGACCAGAAGTAAGTTTCAGAATAAACCTATGGCTGCTTGTGGTTCTAGAACTTTATTTGGGGGATTCTGCCCAGATAATTTAACTTCAAGGCCTGGGCTTCATGCAATGGTACCCAAAAGTGCCTGTACATTATACAACAAAAGAAGTTCGGACTGTTTTCAAACAGCTAGCATGAGTTTGAATAAAAGTGGGCAGTCCAACACTAATGTAATTCATGGGTATTTGATTTATGAAGTTGGAAAGAGATGGTGTAATTCCTCCCCAAGTGAAGGATCAGGGTCAAGAGAATTTCATGGTTCATCAACATGCTCATCTACAAGGACTGCCCATGACGTGTCTTTCGATAGTTCTGCTTCTGAAGGGCAAGTTTCAAGTTCTGCAGATTCATCTAATGAGTAAGTTCTAGAGACCAGTTTTTATCTCAAATGCTTTGTCATATTTGTCTCTGAGATGTTATTTATTTGTTGTCTTATGTAGTTGAGAGGCATAATATTTTATTTTTAAATGCGCATCTTGACTGATTTCATTTTTCCTAGCTCTCGGTGTAACAGACATCCTGCTACTAGGGTTTCCTTTAATTTAATTGAAAGTTAGATATGACGAGAAATTGCATAGTTATATAGTTAGGATATTTTGTAGGTTTCTAGATTTGAAGAGAATTGAGAAATCACTAAATCTTTATATGCGTTCACAAATTACAAGTCACAATTAGTTCTCTCTGCTAATTTAGTATATTTTGTTCACTAACAACCTGCATATATTACGTAAATACTGACTTATGGGAATATAAAGTATTCTGCAGTGGAAAAGTATTTGGTCTGATTTTATTTGTCTTACTTTTAGTGCAATAAGTCTCAGCATTTGTTAAGCATACATTGCTATGGTTACAGGAAGATTACAGATGGAAAGTCCCTAAAACTAACTTCAGGATCATATTACCTGCCCCATCCAGATAAAGAGGAAACTGGCGGGGAGGATGCTCACTTCATTTGTGCAAATGAACAAGCAATAGGGGTGGCGGATGGTGTTGGTGGCTGGGCAGATCTCGGTGTTAATTCCGGATTGTACTCCAGAGAACTGATGTCTAATTCTGTGGCCGCTGTTCAGGAGGAGCCCAAGGGTGCCATTGACCCTGCTCGGGTATTGGAGAAAGCTCACTCGAGCACGAAAGCCAGGGGTTCCTCAACAGCATGCATCATAGCACTCACAGAACAGGTGTGGAACTTCTCTTCGTTCTAAGCAGGATGTTTATGCTTGCATCAAAGGAACAAATATCCATTATTTTGAGGCCTTTTAAATTGCCATATGCTGAAATAATGAACTTTGTAGTAAAAATAACTATTGAAGTCTCAGCTCTTACGTTTTATTTTGTTGTAAGAGTGGTTTTTGTAGATTAAATGGATTGCAAGGGTCTCATAATAATGCTATTTTATCATATTTACGATTCAGGGACTTGCATTAACTGTTTTTGATCTCACTGCAGGGTATTCATGCAGTTAATTTAGGTGATAGTGGGTTTATAGTGGTTCGAGGCGGGTCCACCGTCTTTAGATCTCCTGTGCAACAGCATAATTTTAACTTTTCCTATCAACTGGGGACTGGAAACAACGGTGATCTACCTAGCTCTGGCCAGGTCAGCAGCAATGTTTTCCAAATTTCTTTATGCTGGTTGATAAATATCGCTAATAGATTGTTAGAGTTGCCACTAAGTACTACAGTCTAGTGGTATTCCTCTTCGCCTAGAAGTGAGAGGCCTTAGGTTCGAATCTTGTGGATGGCGAATTCGATACCAAATTAGGCTACCCATTGTGTGGTTTAGCTGAACTCTTCTTCCCTCTAGTGTAAAAATATCGATGTCCTCAAAAAAAAAAAAAAGATTATTTGAGTTTGTTGCAAAAACAAGTTACGACGTCAAGAACATGATTTCATGATTTTTCATTTAATGTTTCAAATGTCCTGGAATGATCGTCGTACATATAACAAAGCTAAGATGGTTTTGTTTGATTCAGGTTTTTACTGTCCCTGTTGCACCCAGGGATGTTATAATTGCCGGAACTGATGGCCTGTTCGACAACTTGTACAACAACGAGATTACTGCGGTAGTGGTCCATGCCATGAGAGCTGGCTTAGGGCCTCAGGTGACAGCGCAGAAGATTGCAGCGTTGGCACGCCAACGAGCACAGGATCGAAACCGGCAGACGCCTTTCTCCACCGCCGCTCAAGATGCTGGGGTCCTTCATTATGGCGGCAAGCTTGATGATATAACTGTTGTTGTTTCATATGTGACCAGTTGAAATTATCCATGACACAAACAATTGGACTCTCTCTCCCTCCATCCCATGTATATGCTACATTTCTCCCTCTTTCCTTCATCTCCTTTTTTGCTCACATGGATAAAATTCCATTGCATTTCTTTTGTCATGACATTACTTTTACTTTATTATATTCTTCTTTCTTTTGTTTTTATTCCTTTAATGATATTCTTCTTTTTATCTTTTCTCGTCTTATTTGCACGCATCAGAGTCTCTTTACACCCAACCTATTATTTACACAAATTTTATTTGATATATCCGCCCAACTTTAGTTCCCAAACTACCCTCATTCACTATAAAGAAACCTACTCAGTTATCTTATCTTTTTACACCTTTTTTTTTTATTGTTATCAAGTTGATGAATATTATTATGGAAAATTTTATTTAAACCCAACTTTCTTATATCTATATGCTACAGAAAAAAATTATCTATCAAACTTTCAAAGTTTATACTTAAATAAATATTAAAAGAAAAAAGAATTTTATAACCCAAAACACAAACAACAACAATAATCTCTCTACACCCCCTTTGTGTTTAATCCGGAGAATCCAATCCTAACAACGGTATCGTGTGTGAAAAAATATCACATAACAATATATTATTAGACCGAAATGTCATTACGACGATAAAATCCTTTTATGTAACCCTTCTTTACTGGACTTTCGGTGTTAGGCCCACTAGGCGTGGTTAAACCGAAACTAAATTAACTGTCCACCCAAAAAACGACAAACTTCACACACAAAAACAACACCAAATCTTGGCCGATGTGCAAACAAAGACAGCAATGATGGTTCTCTAGTTCCGTACATGCAAAGCACCGAATCTTTGCCAGCTCGATCTTTTCCCTCTCTCCTCGGGTCCCTGAGAGAGAGCAACCTCACTGCTCCGCTGTTATTTTGAAAGCGAAAGTGGCAACTCCACCACAACCGCCGCGACCGCCGCCGCCGCCGCCGCAACCGGCAGAGCAGTAATCGAATACTGATTTGTTCATCTCTTTCTCGCTAACGGCTGCGAACGACTCGAGAGAGAGAGAGTGAAAGAAGGCGGGAATGATGGCAGTTCGTCGAGAGGGGTCGTTGATGAGGGACAAGACGCAGTCGTTTCGTGGATCTCGAATCGTGACCGCCATTGTCATCGGAATCCTACTCGGCTCCGTCGTCGCCTACTTGTTTCCTCACGGGTTCCTGAGCTCCGATCGGCCTATCCAAAACCGCAGATTCGGGAAATCGGATCTCCAGGTTTGGATCTCGCTTCCTTAATTTACTCACTCATTGCCTTTTCGCTTTTAATTAGCGCTAATTACATATCTTAATCGCTTCATTTAGTGATTTGATTATGCCAGTCTGCATTTTGCTGATAGAACTTACTTGTAAAGCTTACATTTTTCTGAGAAATTGGATTCAGTTTCTAATCAATTTAGTCCAGAAGCAGTTACGAAGTGTTGTTCGGGATTGCAGAAAGCACTTCCAGCAGTTAGGAAGTGCTTTTATTATAAATTGGTTAAATTTTTTTTTATTAAAATCCAAGTGTTTCTTCCGCGGGCGCTTCTCGGAACAGCGTTTCTGCGATCCATAAACAAGTTTTTTTTTTAGAATGTAGCAATGGTCCCTCAACTTAAATCAAATTGGAGCAATGGTTCTCAACTAAAATTCTATTACCATTGGTCCCTCAACGCATCAAAATGTGTAGTTATGAACCTTATCGTCAACTTCGTCAGAATTTTGTTAAAATAAGTTATGTTGGAAGGACCATTGCTACAATTGGGGTCCCTCAACTCATCAAAACGTGTATCTATGGTCATTTTCGTCAACTTCGTCAGAATTTTGTCAAAATAAGTGAGGTTGGAAGAATCATTACTGTTAAAGTTTGAGGGACCATTGCTCCAATTGGGTTAAAGTTGAGGGACCATTTCTTCAGTTAGATTAAAGTTAAGGACCAATGATAATGGATTTTTAGTTGAGGGACCATAGCTGCACGCTTTGATGAGTTCAGGGACCAATGGTAATGGATTTTTAGTTGATGGACTATTGCTCCAATTGAGTTAAAATTAAGAGACAATTTATACAATTTACTCTCTTTTTTATGGCAAAATGTTGTCAGAAGTGCTTTCGGTGTCATATAACGCTTTTAGCCCTTCCAGAAGCATTGATCTCATCGATCTTTAGTTTGCATTAAGCTCACAGATTGTAATTGGTATTTTAGAAGTATCGATATAATGCTAAACAGCATAATTTTTTAAAATGTGGAACGATGTCATATGGCTGGCTATGCGATTTTTGCTTGCAGATTAGCTCATCACAGTGTGAATCAACAGAACGGATTACCGCGTTGAGGTCCGATATTGCATCATTGTCGGACAAGAATGACGAGTTGAAGAAGGAGGTGCAGGAACTAACTGAAAAGCTACGTCTGTCTGAACAAGGAAAGGATCTTGCACATGAGCAGTTTTCTGTGTTAGGTAAACCACATAAGGCTGGCCCTTTTGGTACCGTCAAGGGCTTGAGAACTAACCCGACAGTTGTTCCTGATGAATCCTTGAATCCGAGGTTGGCAAAGATCTTGGAGGAAGTTGCAGTTCAAAAAGAGCTTATAGTTGCACTTGCGAATTCAAATGTGAAAGTCATGTTGGAGGTATGGTTTACTAGCATCAAGAAAGTTGGTATAACCAATTATCTGGTAGTAGGATTAGACGATGAAATTGAAGAATTTTGCAAAGCTAATGACGTTCCTGTATACAAGAGAGATTCGGATGAGGGTATTGATCCAATTGCGAAGAAGGGAGGTAACCATGCCGTCTCAGGGTTGAAGTTTCGCATCTTGAGGGAGTTTCTGCAACTCGGTTATAGTGTTCTTCTCTCGGATGTTGATATAGTATATTTGCAAAACCCGTTCAATCATCTTTATCGAGATTCTGATGTAGAGTCCATGACTGATGGTCACAATAACTATACAGCTTATGGATTTAATGATGTGTTTGACGAACCCTCTATGGGGTGGGCTCGTTATGCTCACACGATGAGGATATGGGTTTACAACTCTGGTTTCTTTTACATAAGACCTACGCTCCCTGCAATTGAGCTTTTGGATCGTGTGGCTGAACGACTCTCTAGGCCACAAAAAGCATGGGACCAAGCAGTATTCAACGAGGAACTATTTTTCCCTTCTCATCCGGGGTACAGTGGCCTTCATGCTTCCAAGAGAACCATGGATTTCTATCTCTTTATGAATAGCAAGGTCCTCTTCAAGACGGTCAGGAAAGACGCTAACTTGAAAAAGTTGAAACCAGTAATCCTTCATGTAAACTACCACCCGGATAAACTTCCAAGGATGCAGGCAATTATGGAGTTCTACTTCAACGGCAAGCAAGATGCGCTGGAACCTTTCCCTGACGGTTCTCAATGGTAGTATAGTTCAACAGACTCCCGGATGGCCTAAAATCTACGTACACATGCTCTGTAATTCAATTGATACTGGTTTGGGTACATCGACTGCACATTCTGAGGCCAATTCGCAGTATTTCTTCTTTCTTTTTTGCTTTTTCCCGTGTTTCCTATCAAATTTTCGATTTATATGGATAGTAACATTTTAAGTTTCAACAGATATCTCCTGAGATGACCGTTGTTCTGTACCATATTATACCAAGAAATATAACTCAAGGGTTTCTCATCTTTCATCATCGACAGCTTTGCGACGTCCTTGGTCTTTAAATTCTGCATATTTATTCGCTTGATTGGATTTTGAAATGGTATTGTGTTTGACACATGATCTGGGAGAAACCGTCACACTGACTCGTGGTGTTACAGTCAGTCATCCTACAAGTAGCAGTGTGACGGTCATAGATTGCCGGAAGTACCAAATTTATTAGCTACAAAATTTTCTGATATCCTTGGATAAATTGCCCACCATGAAAATGCACAGCAATTGACAGATTTCGGGTGCCTACCAAAACAAAATCGTAAATCCAAACCGCCCAATAAGGCAATAGCTTCCTCCAACTCTTTTGGACTCTTCCACTTATCCAGAAACACTTCCATCCAAATTCCGCGTTACTTTCTCCCGTTTTGTGTGGCCTCAAAATCCCATGCGAACATTCCTAACCTGATCCCCACCTCCTCCTCCTGAATTCTCGCTTTCGATTCCGATTTCGACAAGTCGAAAAATCTTCCCCTGCAACTGTTTCGGTGAAATATAAAGGTTTCGTGAACAGCTGCCCGCCAGTTTTTTCTCATTCAAATTGTCTTCTGGTTGTGAGTTATGTTTCGATGAATTGCTAGTTGGGACTTGGTTGGTGATTGAAATGGAGCGATTTTCGCAACGGGAGAGCCTTCTTCTCGGCTGCAGTCCTCAGAGAGCGTTCGTCAACTCCGGTTCTTCTTCCCACACTCCCACCAAAAACTCGGACGTTGATTTTCATGACGTCTTTGGTGGCCCGCCGAGGCGGTGGTCTGTTAACGACATGAGGTACAGCTTCAGCGAAGCTACCGAGAGCAGCGGACTGAAAGGGGATGCTGATGACGACGACAACAATGATGATCGGTCCGGTTTGAATGAGAAGCCGGTGTTTGGGGAAGGGTCCGTGAACAGAAGACGGACCCAGAGCGATGACTTCTTTGATGACATCTTTAATGGCAATCACTCTGTCAGTTCTAGTCCAAGGAGGCTTCAGAGGGACCCCTTCGCTTCGGCGCCAGGTTCTCGGGTTCTAAGCCCCGCCCACCCCCTGCTGCACAAAACCGAGCCCTCTGCAGCTTCTTCACTGCCTGCACAATTCAGGTACCATAGAAACTTGAGGAACAAGAAATACAATATGTTTGAGCAGCTGCTAATTTTGTTCGTTATATAATGAATCAATCATGCGTTAATTACCTTATTTGCTTCAAAATTTCTCAGCCTCCCCGCCGGATTTAGCAAAGGGCTGGTGGAGCTGCCTCGTTCGAGGTCTCTTTCTAGATTTTCGAACCGAGCAATCCAAAGTCACGATAAGTCGAGAAATGATATTCGATCCAGTACTCGCCGGAGCTCCTCATACCAACATTCTTCTCCTGTTGGCGAAGGGTCCTCGAGCTTGGCTACATCCGATAAAGTAGACACAGGAGGGAATTCGGAAAAGGATTCAAAGAGTTCGGAAAATGCAACTTCTAGCAGTCCGTTTCAGTTTCATTTCTCGATTTACAAATGGGCAGTGCCAATGGTGATGCCTCTTAGGGGGCGGAATGGTTCAAGAGTGCAGAAAAGAACTAAAAACGAGGAAGGGTCAAGCACAAATGAATGCGCTGCTACTGAGAGTCCACTCGATGATGCTAGGTCTCCCACCGTGGAACTAATCAAACAAGAAAATGACTTGCGTGTTGATGAAACCACTCCTGATAAAGTAGATCCGCGACAATTTGTTGAGGAAGCGGTTCTTCCCCTAGCTGAATCAGAAACCTTCAGCAGCCTTCGTGACACTGCTGAAGATGTTTCCGGTAACACCATCTCATTCCGTAAAAGTGAAGATATAGAGCCTCATCCTTTACTTCAAACAGCTTCTTCTGAAGACCCACAGAAAGAAATTCCCGTGCTTATGGAGCAAGTTCACAAGCCAGATCAAAATCATGTTCGTTCTTTCTTTTTTGATGAAGATCTTCAACAAGGTATGTTAAATTCTTAACTGTCATGGCGAGGTAACTGTCATCATGTACTACCGCTGACACCACACCTGAATTTTCATATGCAATGCAGGCAATGATGAGGTAACTAAATCGAGTGGTAAAAAGGAAAGCGTGGTTAAAGGCACCAAAAAATCATCTGTAGATGTTGGCGCTAATAAGACTGCAAAACATCAGCACTTAAAAAGAAGTTGCTCGACTAAAGTTGAAGTTAATAAGGCAAGTTTCCAAGGTTCAACGAAGAACTCGGGAGATAATCTCAGGAGAAGCAAAGTTAAGGGTAAGGTGAAGGACCTTGTTAAAATGTTCAACCAAGAAGTTTTGTGTAAACCCACATATGATGGTAGTGACCTTGGAAGTCAGAGCTATGGAATGAAGGAGAAAGGTGGTTTCAAAGCAGAGAATGAAGCGAGTTTTACCGCAACAAAAATGAACAAGGACTTGCCAAAGTCCGATGTGAAAAACACATTTTCTGATGCTCCCGTCATGGTAATCAATTCAGAATGGTTTGAGTTCGCATAGCCAAAAACGAAATGATTTTGTTTTCTTCAACATTTTTCTGAATATAACTCTTTTTTTCCTACTCTTTCCAGATGAAGGAAGATCTCCAACAGCTAGAGAAAGAAAATATTGAAGCAAAGACCGCTCCCTATACACATAATAATGCTCCCGCGCAGGACACCCCTGCATCAAGTACCGGTCAGTTCTCCTAATCTTGTTTAAGGAATGTGGCTTAGCTAACCACTCAAGTAGAGAAAGAACTGGTATACAAATATAAAACCAATTGGCAAATGGCAATACGGGGAGTCACCTAACCTCTTATAAGCCCATGCAAGGTCCCTCCTCCCATCAATGTCGAATTCATCCTCAACAGATATCATACATCAGTTCTTTGTATTTCAGTTTACTGCGGGCTTAGTAACTTTTCACCTTTCCACGTATCTAGTGATAGTCTAATGAAAGGTGTACAACTTATTCATTAACTTCTGAGCTTTGACAGGATCAGCTCGCAACGGATCAAATGCTACCGTTGAAGATGCAGATGAGTCCTCCCACGAAAACTTCCAGGTGTGTAATTCTTATATAAAAGAACCGTTTCCTGTAGTCTATAAATTACGCTCGTTTTCTATGAATTTAGTTTTCCTTCGTCCAGTCTCTACTTAATCCTTCAGTGCAGTATTTACGACGAAATTTCTGATGAAGTACTCTACTTGACAGATGAAAGAAATAACTCAAGATGAGGAAAAAGAACCGCAACCACAACCCGTCAACAATCATGAAGAACTCCAGGTGAATTTAGTTTACTGCATGCTGTTATGGTTTCCGGAAAGCAGTAATGTAACATCCCATAAATTGCAGGCGATTGATGCTAAGATACTACAATGGTCAAGAGGAAAGGAAGGAAACATCCGCTCGCTGCTCACTACCATGCAAATTGTAAGCATTGATTCGTTGTTTTTTTCCTTCCAGTTTGCTCTATCTTCAAAAGTGGCCGCGGATATTGCATAACAGCACGCTTCATGGCATAAACTTCACCGTTTCTTTGTCACTAAGATTGAAGACTTCCATGAGTAAATATTTCTCAAGCACGAGGTCGATGCCTGACTACTCGTTCAGCAACTAATGCGGGTTTAAACCGATACATGGCAGGTTCTTTGGCCCGAGAGCGGGTGGAAGACGGTACCTCTTGTAGATATAATCGAAGGAAATTCCGTGAAAAGAGCGTACCAAAGGGCGCTGCTATGTTTACACCCGGATAAGCTGCGGCAGAAGGGTGCTGCTTCACATCACAAATACCTTGCAGCAAAAGTTTTTGATGTCTTGCAGGTCAGTAATTTGTTAAGAATCGATCGATCAACTGCTAATTTCTCCATTTTTTACTACAAAAACAGTAACTAATGCTCGTGGTGAATTTTTTTTTACTTGTTTTGGGCAAATGCAGGAAGCCTGGGATCATTTCAATTCACTTGGCTCACTATGACAAAGTTTTGTTTCGAAGCCACGTGTCAGATTATGATTGGTCGAGTTCGTGTTCGTTCAACTGTATATAATTAAATCGACGTATATATACACAAGCTGATAAGGCGTAAATAAGTTGACTAGGGCAAAAGTACCTTTTTACCCAAGTTCCAGTCCCTCTGTAGGTTAAAATAAATTAAGGTCTCGCTTGAAAAGTACTTTTAAATTATTGAAATCACGTTCAAAGAAAATGTTTTTGGGCTCCAAGAGCATTTGAAATACTTCCTACAAATGCTAACGTGTGCTTCTTGCAGGAAGTACTTCACAAACTTTTGGAATCTAAAAAGAATTTTTTTTAAAAGCGCTTTTAGTCATTTAAAAGTACTTCTCAAATAAGTCATAGTATTTCCCTTGAATAAAAGAAAACTAATAAAAATGGCTTAAAAATTTTGAGTTTTAACGATAACAAAAAAATAAAGAGTAAAATAAATAGTATTATGATTAATTTTTTAATATAAAAATATGATTTTTCGTTAAACTTCCCATCGAATAAAAGAAGAAAACAAACCCGAAGTAAAGAAATTGCTTAATTGGGCCAGGCCCTTAACATTTAGCTTTCCAATGCCGTACCCCGTGAACAACTTAAAGTGAATTTCCCATTTTGCCACTGCGATTGGATTGAAAGCGACTGTAGACTGGGACCCACCCGAAAAAAGGCCAAATTGGATAAGACAGTGGCACGGGTGACCGGTGGGGTCCAAGCTTTTGAAATTGTGCTCCTGTCCACGTGTTTATTTGTACCACTCGACAGCTTTATATTCATGCAATACGCTTGTCGTTTCTAGCGTTCCCATTTTGCAGTAGATTGTCGTCTACCAAAAATTACTAAAGTTTGAAACTATAAAACCGTTAGATTAAATTTAGAGAAGTTTAACGAAAAATTTCTGGTACTGTTTATTTTAACGAAAAATCATATTTTTACACTAAAAAGTCAATCCTGATACTATTTACTTTACCTTTCATTTCGTCATTATCGTTAAAACTCAAAAATTTCAAATCATTTTCATTAGTTTTTCTTTAAATTTAATATATTTTTGTAGAATCGTATTAGTTTATTTTTTTTTATTATAAATAAAGTTTTAATGGTTTTAAATTTATCTAATTTTTTGCATAAATGATAATCTTTTTTATCAAAATACTTGTCAAAGCATCTGTTTCTGAATCCTAATCCGGTTATAAACAAAAACATTGTTCAAACTTCAAATAATCCCTGGTGGGACATTTATATATATAACACTTCAACAATAATTAAGCTATCACCGTCTATCCTATTTTATGGTTTATTTTAAAAAAAATTGGGTAATTATTATTGGTTTATTTATTTTTAGATATTTGATGGTGATATTTTTTTTTGTTGAATCTGAGTGGTGATATGTATTTATTGAGTAGAGAGTACGACCAGCCCGGCACAAGATGTCCGTGGAAGCCTTCAAATCAGTAGACATAAAGCATATTGTTCTGGTCAATGTGACTACGCTTAAGTTTGTGAATTCTTTTTTTATATGAAAACACATATTAGTAACTAAATTGATTGTTACAGAAATACCGTGTTTATTTTTTCTTGTCGAGAAAATTATAGTGTTTGTTATCGCAATGATTTGTTATTTGGATTTTCAATCTCGACCTTTGTAGTTCTAAAACATGCGCTCCTGATGATCATTTTCATTAAGTCTGTTTATTTGGGTAATATGTCTGTCATCAATCTTCAAAACTAATGGGGTTGTGACCTAATTTTTTTTTAGGAACTTTAACGAAAAACTCCCGGTACTGTTCACTTTAACGAAAAACCACATTTTAAAACTAAAAAAGTCAATTATGTTACTATTCACTTTACCCTTTATTGTCTTTATCATTAAAACTCAAAGTTTTCAAGTTCTTTTCGTTAGTTTTTTTTTTGTGAGATAATAATTTTTTAAAATTAATTATTCAACTTTCAACTTAAATTGACTTATTTTCTAATCATTACACTATTTCTAGTTAAATTAAAGTTATTACTCTTTTCCAGAAAAAGTAGTTTTCATAAAATAAGTATTATTATTTTCTAATCAGGGGGTTTAGTATAAACTTAAAACTTTTCCTCATTTCACTTGTGGTTTAACAACCATGTTTCGCTGCTGAAATAAGAGCTTTCGCTGCTGAAATAAGAGCAGCAAGTACTAAGTGCTGCTGAAACCTAATAACGAATGGACCAATAACAAATGGACAAGTGTCCAATCCTAATTTTCAATCTTAATTATTTAGACACGTGTTCATTTGTAATTGATTTTTCAGTAGCACTTGCCGTTCTTCTTTTATCAACGAAGCATAGTTCATGGTTTAATCCACGGGTTTGTCTTGTTTGTATTCTAATTTTGCTTTTCCTAGAATCTAATTACTCACAAGTCACATTGACCAAATTGTCTCTCTTTTTGGCTGCAAATATTATAAAAGACAATTAACAATTAATAATTGCTACATGTAACATGTTAACATGTTGATGTTGACTCCTCAACATCCAATTTTCCTCTCAGGTAAAAAAGAAGAAAAATATAACATGAATCCTAAGTTGTTTATTTCATATATATACATATATATATATATTATAAATTTTGCTTATGGATTTAATTGAACTTTAACCAAATGATGAACAATCATATCCCACGTGAAAATACATGGAGAAAACGACGACTCACCAATCCGTTGAAAAATGGTGCTTAATTTACTCGACTCTACTTAATGTATTTTAATATCCATTAAAATTCGACTCAATATGAATTTATTTTTATTCTATTTTTTTTTTTAATTCGGAACCCGTTGTGAGATACTAAGACATAGCAATTAGTATTACTTTGTATTAGAGAATGCAACAATAAGATCAATTTTATACTAAATAGCATACCTGTTACTCAACCGAATGCATATGTCAATTTCAATTATATTTTTATCTTTTAAAATACCATCTTGTTTAAAAATAAGATTAACTAAAATCTGAAATACTCATATTATAAAACGTAAATTAGTTATTTCTGATGACCTTGTATTAAGTAGGCAGTGAGATTCCACACTGACCTCCAACTCCAACACTACAATTTTCATTTTCCGGCAATTTTACCTTCTTTTTTTTTAAAGAAAATTAATGAAAAGAACTTGAAAATTTTGAGTTTTAACGATAAGGACAAAAATAAAGGGTAAATTGAATAGTACTATAATTGACTTTTTAGTGTAAAAATATGATTTTTTGTTAAAATGAACAGTACCGTAAGTTTTTCGTTAAAACTCTTCTTTTTTTTATTCTCTTTTTGTTTTGTACTTTTTACGAATTTAGAATTAGGAATTTTAACGAAAATTTTCCGGTATTGTTCACTTTAACGAAAAATCACATTTTTATATTAAAAAGTTAATCATGATACTATTCATTTTATTATTTATTTTATCATTTCCGTTAAAACTCAACTTTTTAAAACCATTCCCGTTAGTTTTCTTTTAGAATTAAAAAATAATAATGAGGGGGTTGCAGCAAGATCACGAAGGCCTTCCATTTCAGAGCAGCTGTTGGCATTTCTGAGCTCTGAAAATACAGAAACGCAGCTGTTTTAGCGTTCAAGAAAGAAGTTGGGTTTTGCTGCCCTCCAATGGCTGTCTTCTCTTATTCGGTGAGTCCCACAGTTGTTCATTTTTTTCTAAGAACTTCAATCTCTTCCAGTTTTTTCCTTTAAATTTTCGTTTTATGAGTTCATGTATCTTCCGGGACTTGAATTTTTCTTCTGGGTCCTGTTTGGTAGCTGAGAAAGCTCGGGAAAACGAACAAACAAGTGGGAATTATGATTGACCAAGTTTTGAAAAGCTCATTTATCTGTTAATTTTGGTTAAAAGTTTCTCTGCTTCCTCTCTACTAATTGAAACTGGATCTGATTTTATACTCTGAGATCTGCACTGGAGCCTGTTATCTTTGATCACCCGCAAAAGAATTTCCTTTTTTCTGTTGTTGTGTTGGATATATTGCTGGACCGTCGCAAAGCCAGGAGGCTTGTTGGCCTGAGGTCGCCCTTTATCCATTGTCAATAAAGTAGTTGCAATTCACGCAGAGCAGATTAGAGTAGTTTAAAATAACGCTTTCATTGATAAAGAAAGAGGATAATATTTGTATGTATGTAGTTGTGTTGAGCTTTTGTTTATAATGCCACTGCATTTCCATCCTTTGGGTGGTAATGCCTTTGATGTGTACCCAAATGCACAGGCTGGAGGCAAGCATTGAGTGCGTTCTGGTTTTTACTTATTGAGGAAACATGAAATTTGAATTGAAGAAGAGATGGAGATCCGTTGCCCCCCTTCAATTGAAGAACAAATCCGCGGGGCGTTTTTGTTTATTTCCCAAATCAAAATCGGATAGCGCTGAATCAGGAAAAGCACCAGTTTATCTCAATGTATATGATCTGACTCCCATGAATGGCTATGTCTATTGGGCTGGCTTTGGAATTTTTCACTCTGGTGTTGAAGGTGAGCTTACGTTCTGGTCACGCAATTCGTGTTTTATCTCAAGCTGAACTCTATCTCTGTTTGTTTTGCTTAATTCTATCAAATTACTATAACCTTGTTAATCTTCGTTCTATGTTTGTTTCGATCGAGTGAAGTTCGGTTTTGCTGATAGTCCACATGCATTGTGCAGTTCATGGTGTGGAATATGCATTCGGAGCACATGACTATCCTACGAGTGGTGTTTTTGAGGTTGAACCTCGCCAATGCCCAGGGTTCAAGTTCAGAAGGTCGATATTGATCGGGACAACAGGCTTGGACCCTACTCAGGTTCGAGAGTTTATGGAGCGCCATTCTTTGAGCTACAACGGGGATACATATCACCTGATTGTCAAGAACTGCAACCATTTCTGCAGGGATATTTGTCGCAGGCTCACCGGAAAATCAATTCCTAAATGGGTGAACCGACTGGCAAGAATTGGTATCCTTTCTTCACCCACTGTTTTCAGTTGTATTGGTTGCAATTGAGTTTCTATTTCGTTCGCGCATGCTTCTGTATGGAGCTTGGAGTTTGAGTTTCTGGTCTGTTTTTGTATTTTCGGACATTGTGAAACAACGCTTTTAAGTTTCATTAGAGTCGTCATTCTGATATTAAGTATCGTCCTAAGAAATCGGCTTAGGTCATGCATGTTTTAAGGTCTTACCTGGGATCGAATCAAGATTCGAATTTCTAATGAACGATGGAAAAACAGTGGTTTGCAAAGGTAAACTAACTCTACTGTTATGTGGTAGGTTCAGTATGCAACTGCATACTTCCGGAATCTCTGAAGATTTCCGATGTACAACACGACCCTAACTGCCAACCGTACGACAGCGACAAGAGGAGCTTGAGAAGCGCCTTCAGCTGCGTGTCGTCTATCTCAATGCGGCAGAAGCAGTTATCTTCATCTTCGTTATTTCTACAGTCGCCCCTGAAAGGTTGCTTGCCGCCATGGGAACTGCGAAGATCGTTGAATGGTTCGTTGAAAGAAAGGTGAGAAACTGTTCGGAAGACTCGCTCTTTACGCCCGCAATTGTAATTTGAATGTATCTAGTATGATGACGTAGCAATTAGGGGGAAAAGTCTTCTCAGAATCGATACCAAGAGTGAGTCTGAATTTCCCTCCGTCGCAGAGTGTGTTCTCCCAGGTTTGTGGACTGATGCTTGTGATCGTTGTAACTATTAGTTTCCAACAAATTCATGAAGGTATTGCTATATCAGTTCTAATCTTTCAAATTTTTCTTACTCAAAACCTACCTGTTAATTTGCACCAGAAAGGATCAGATTGAGATACATCGTCACACATCAGAGCTTTATAATGGTGAAACAAAATCACAACCAACATATATACCAGCCAAGCTCGTCGACATAAATCGACTTCCGCCAACCCGTTCCCTCCTCCGTTAACTGAGATCATACAACAATCGGAAAACGCCTGCTTTGAGAATGCCAGCTTAAATCCACAGCGGCGCGCATCGTAAAAATACCGTTTCAACTTACTCCGACCAAAAAATAATTCTTCTGCAATCCGTATCAGTTTTAATTTTTCCCTATAACAAATAGAATCATATATGAATAGGAGTGTGATAACCACACACCCCATTTTACTTCTCACACACCATTCTAATTTTCGGCCGTCAGATCGGATGAATTGAAGAAGATCAACGGATAGAAATTAACAAGGATGTGTGAGAAGTAATTTGGAGTGTGTGGATAGCACACCCCATATGAATATACAGATGACGATCCGAGTTAGCATTGGGAAAACAAACCTGCATGAACATGAAAGAGATGCTTCAGATCAGATCAACAGGTGCAAAGTTTCTTCTAAAGGGGTTGCAATGCATTTTAACATGGTGAAAACACAAATATTTCGAAGATTTTAGCGTTAAAGGGCACAGTTTCCATAAGCATGGAATTACAAGTTAAAAATTGCACACCCCTCACTGTGGCTAGTGCAATCATGAACGAAAACTACGAAACTCAACTGCGACTAGATATCATTTGAGAGCGAGGCCCTGAATTTTATCAATCGTCTTTCTGATGCAAAACACTAGGACGGCTATTATTACCATTAAGAGCAGCATGATACACCCGCTTCTCGGCAAGTCCAATATCTGATAAAGTCATGTTGCCCTGTAAACAAAACAAAAAGCACACATGGAATCAAGTTACAAACACCAGGAGCTCGCACGATTAATATCTCTACCTAGTTGATGGTCACGCTCTCAAGCAAGAAAATGCTTTAAACTTTGCTTTCATAATATACTTTCGGGAGGAAACATGTACCTCATTGGCCATCAATCTTCTGACATTACTAGCGTAGAGTTTTGGATCATCCTTTTCTTGTTGTGAGGGGTAATAAACAGGTAACCTTGTGACCTCTATGTGATTTACAAATTGACAGAGAAGAAATATCACATGGCGCACCTGAAAATAAAGTAAATGAGGTAACCAAAATTAGAAGCTCAGAAGACCGAAAGGCTATATGCCTGACATGTTGAATTCTTACTAATTGTGCATGTATAAATTTCCTGCATGATATATGTATTTTCTTTATACGTGTTCTTGGAAATTGGTTAAGAAACACTCACCCCAGATATCGAGTCCCATGCAGGACTAAATCTTCGGTAAGGATACCTAAGAATCACCGGAAGAACTGGAACTTTTGCCAGGAATGCTCCCGTCTTGAATGGCAGAAGAAAGTCTCCGTTTGTAGTAGTTCCCTCTGTAGAAAGATTAACCATAAAATAAATACCACGTAACAGAACTATAAGCATCGCTGACAACATTATGCACGTCTGCTAACAAATGAATCGCAGACCAGTTTCAGCGTGGTTGAAAACTCGTGTTCCCTTCCAAGCACATAAATTAACAAACGATGATTTGAACATCCAAGAACGAGGACAGCTGAAAACTCATTAATCAGGCTTTCTTATAATAGAGTGCTTAAAACTATAACCTGGGAAAAGCATTATTGGCGGGGCGGATTTATTCTGATGTGCTTCTTTAACTCTTTCAGTCACCGCACCTGCAAATGATATCCAATTATTAAGCAAACAACATTGTCATACAAGTAACACAACTGAAAACTCGTTATATAGTGTTTGTGTGTCATATCCACTCATAATTGATCATAGTTTTCACCTCGCATACCGCAAATCACGCTAGATTTATGATGTGCACCTTGAGAGTGATTAGAAAACTATCAAAAACAGGGAGCACCCCAATTTATGTACCTGCAACTCCCTTGAAGTCGGATGACTTTGACTCTCGCTGAACATAGACACAACCGAGGCACTTGCTGTCAAAAACAACAATCGGAAATCGAACTCCATTAGCTCCCGTAAATATGATGGAGAGAAACTACAGATTTTCAGAAGTATGACGAAATTAAAGCAAGCGAAAGCGAATGCAACCGACCTGATGAGGCCAACTAGAGGAAGTTTCGCCACCGATCTCTTCACAAACAAAATCCAGGATAACAGAAACTCAGAACCAACACATAGATAAAATTGGATCATCTTTCAATCAAAATTCATATAGAGTAGCAAACCTTGGCGACGAAGCTCGGAAACGAATTAGACATGTGATACAAGGTATCCAAATACGAAACGTGATTCGATATGATCGCCCCTGGCCTTTCAGGCTCCTTTTCTTCGGCAACATCTTTTCCCTAACCAAAAATTTAACATCAAAATTACCACTCAAAATCTCACGAAATCAATTTTCATGCTTTAGAGAGAGAAACAGTGAGAGAGAGAGAGAGAGAGAGAGAGAGAGAGAGAGAGTACCTGGGGTGCGGGTTTGGGTTCGGAATCCGATGGTATCCGATATGACTCGTTGATCCAATAGAAGCCAAAGACGAAGAGCATGGCTCTGGATAAGGCGCGGCCGCACTGGACTATCACGGCCTGCCGCCAGCCCCCCATGTGCGCGTAATCCTCCTGCTCCTGCTCGTCGCGATTGGGGATTTTGAAGAGCGTGCAAATCCGGCAAATCAAGTAGTACAGCACCAACACCGTCATGGCCAGGACCACGCGTATCGGAACCAGAGTCACCAACGCGAGCCCTAGCAGCACCTTCTCCTTCACCGGCAATTCGCCTCGCCCCATGGTGCCGTACACATCGCGTCGCACGTACGCCGCGCATTTATTCTCTAGCTCCTGAAGCTCCTCGGCGGAGACGGAGGAGGCCGGTTCGGGTTTGAGGAGTGGGCGGTCGTCCTTGGACGCCGGACCGTCGTTGCGGTCCTGCTTGGCCTGTTTGGAATTGAGGCCTTGGAGTTCGGACTCCATCAGCAAAAGAAAAGAAAAAAACCTAATTGGAAGGAGGTCCGAGTCCGGCGGGGTTCTAGGGAAGGGTCATCGAAACGATGGCGTATTGGAGTGTGCGGATCTGGGGAAAGAGGAGTAAGGCGGACCGGCGGGAAGATTCTGGTTGCGAAGTGGATGGTCGTGATACGATTTGGGCTTGCACTCTATTGGCCCAGCTTCACAAAATATAATGGGCCGGGTTGATTGAGTAGGTTTGGCCCATTACTCGATGTTATGACCAAATAGCCGTTGGCAACACTGTACAAGTATTACAAAACTTTCCCTTCCACCTTCCGAACTGGGGAAGGAAATAACACTGCTCTCACAAACATTCCTTTCCCAAACAATTGTTTCACCAACCCAACGCAGTCTTACGGAAAACAATACAACAAACCATACAAACTTTGCATAGTCGGTGCAGAATATTGCCACTGAAGCGTCTTTCTAGTTTCTGTTATCACACGACTTGTATACGACGCAAAACAGCAAAGTTGCAGATTGACATAACAATGTTTCGTGGAGTGAGATGATTGCGGGAGTGACAACTCGAACCACGGATGGATCGACCGAGACAGAGGAGTGCACTTAATCGCCACTCTGTTAACTAGTTGAACTCATAAAACTGCATCCATCGGTAGTAACTGTGAACCGGAAGGCAAGCGACTACAGATTTCCGATAAACGGAGTGGGAACAAGGGGAGTCCTAAGGGATCTAAGGGATGATATTCAGTTGTACTTGAATCAGATATTGGGGCCCTAAGGGATCTTCATCCTCATCAAAGTCGAATTTGACATACGAGAATCATATTCTTCGACAAATGTTTTCGGCTACATTGCTCCTAACTATTCAAACATGTCATGTTCAAGGACAATGTAGATGTACACGACAGACCAAACATGAAAATTTCAAACGAACTCGAAATGTTAAGATCCTAAACCAAGAGTTTTCGATCCGTTGTTCTAACTTCTGTGAGGTTCACTTACACATTCAAATCCATCCATTGAAGTTCTTCACGTTAGGCACTACATATAAGTTGCCACTTCATTTGATTTTTTATCATTTAGAAAATATGAACCGACCACTTCCACATGCTCTGCTTAGAAAATGTGATTTTGAGTCAGAGACTCGGGACAAAAGAGGTAGAGAAAAACTTAGGAAGAATTAAAAAACTTTAAGAAAAGACATGGAGTATTTAGAGTTCACATTAGATTTGGCGCTAAACCGAGCGTTATGACGTTCTAGGATTCATAGCCAACTCCGCTTAATGAATTAAGGTTTTGTTGTAAAAAAAGGCATGCAAAAATCACTTACGATAGTTCAGAAGGTGCTATAAAAATTCTTATTCACCACTGCCTGCGTATTGAGTTTTATTCCCCTATAATTTGCAGCACAAACTCTAAAACTGATAAATTATTAATAACCAAATTAACAAAGAAAGCGTCCAGCAATCATACCTTGTAAAATGGCCATGAATCTCAGCAGGACACCCAATTTTTGTGAGTGCTAATCAGAGCCGACAACATCCCGGCCAGCGATACCGAAAGCGGCCCCAGGAACGGTCCGCCGCCGTCCCGGATATCCGCCAACGCCATTAACGCATCCGCCGAATCTTGAACCACAGAGAGCCTCTTCATCATTTTCTTCTCACGCAATTTACTCAACCTCTCCTTCTCTTCCTCGCACCCGTTCCCCCTCGTAATCGCGATCTCAATGCTCGATTTCACGCACTTTTCGTCTTCCGAGATCCGATTCAAATCCCTGAATTTCAACGAAATGCTGCCGGCGTACCCGATGAACTCGGCCCAGGCGCTGATCTTCTGCAAATTCCGCGAGTGCTTCTTATCGATCAACCCCGATTTGACCAGCCAGACGAACTGTTCAACGAAAAAATACAGTCCCTCGCCGCCGTAGGCGATTAGTGCGAGTACGAGCTCCTGATTCGAATCGAATGTCGAGCTCCTCAGAGCGTTGACGTCCTGGACGAACTTACCTAACCGGAAGGCCTTGCGACTGACGCCGACGCTCGACTCGAAGCTCTTGAGCCGCTGCGTTAGGGGCAGGGTTTCCGGGAGGGCGGAGGAGGCGATGACGATCTTGGTGGCGTACCGAGATATCTTGATGAGCTTGTCGACGCCATCTCGCTTGGCGAGGTAGGCTTCGAGGTGGTTCAGGAAGTCCCTTGGCTTCGGCTTCGATGGAGGATTGTTAGGGTTTTTCTGGTTCAGTAGAGGAGCGGTGGTTGTTGAAGGTTTCGAGTCCATGGAAACGCAGAGCGCGAGCGAGAGAGAGAGAACCAGATACGGAATTGCTTAGTCGTATTAAGACGCTGCCGTTTCCGCGGGAAACCGTTGTCCATGGAACCAATACGTCACTACTTGGATCCCATCCGGATCCATAAAATTCTAGGAATTCTGACACATCTTACTTATTATTTATCGTGTATCGTGCAGTTAGAAATTATTTAATTTTTTTTATTTAAAATTAAACACGAATATAATTTCTGAAGAAAATTGATCGCATAATGTACGATGAATGTTAAAACGTAAAAATCCTTAAGACCTCTATAAAATGAATTCGGAAAGGTTACTCTTCCCAGCTAGTTTTATGTTTTGCAGGCCACCAAATATTGTTTATTTATTTATTTCTCAGAATTTCGTGGACGAGCTTTTGTGATAAGTAATTGGGGCTGACTATCTTTTGTGATGAGTAATTGGGCTTACTAAAAAGATCGCTGTAGATCATATCCAATTAACTAATTACAATTCGAGTTTTAAGAGAAGTGATTTTCAGACGTTTGTTCTTACAGTCTTTACTACGCCCCTTCTTCATGTTTATGTTGGTGGTTTCTTTAATTTGTGATGGATTTTAGTTTCGTGACATGTCTAAGAAGTAATTTGTGAGTTAGTTCTCATTCGTGACCCTTGGATTTGGTGAAATGCAATGCAAAAACAACATATTTCTTTGAATTTGGTTAAATGACACATCAATTATGTCCATCAGTATAAGTTTTTCATAACGGAGGGGACAAGAGTTTGAACTTGAAACGCAATTTGTTAAATAAACACATTATGTCAACTAGGTATTATTTACACACTTTGAACAAGTCACCGTACATTACTTTTTAGTGAAAAAGTGATTGATATGCATGTGAATAATTGACGCTTATTCGAAAAATGTCGAATTGATTAACCTACTTGGAAAAAGCCTAATGATTATTGGTGAGTGAAGTCCTTTTGTTGTGTTGTGTTGTTTTGTTTTGTTTTGTTTGTTTGGTTTGGCAGACGTTGACTCGGCACTTGCAACTTGCACGAAGCAGCACCCACCACTTACCCAATACGTCGACCACGCATAGTCACGCATTGCCGACTCGCCGGTTTACTTTTCCTCACTTTCATCTTTTTTATTTCCTCCATGTACTCGTTACTTTTTTGGGGAGATTTTTTTGTGTGATCGTCACACGGAATGATACATTATGTATTATTATATAAATGTTGGAATATGTATATTAAAAGTTAATAATTTAAAAAATAAAATTTTTCATCACTTACATAAAAACACGGTGTACCATCCGTGTTCCAGTTATAATTAAAAATTTCTCCTTTTTTTTTCTTCTCCAACTTTCCTCCATTTCAATGTCCAAGAATTTCGTCAAACCACCATCCACAATCTGCCTCCATGCACATTAACCAAGACCCTTGATCCTCAGAGATTTTTTAGTATATCAAAAATACAATTCGAATTATTAAAGTTTGTTTGTTGGACTATTGGATCTTAAATAACGTTAGATTGATATAGACTTTTAAGATAGGAAATAACGGACTGTATTTAACTTCATTTTAATTAATCATAACTTATCATATTCAGCTCATCAAACAGGATCTAAATATCATGACACAAGTGATTAAATACTATAAAAAAATTAACTATTTTTATTATAACACTTGTTGATCCGGAGCATATTTTCGAAACACTGAAAATTTTCTACTTGATTCTCTCACACAGGCCACACGTGCAGCATAAAGTGCGTGAAACACCGCGTGTGGGGTGGGTTTGGTTTGGTCGCCTGTCATTTGCTGGAAACATCACCCGCCAGTATTTCTAGCATTGCCTCCGAGAAAAACAGAGGAACGTATGAAAGCAGAAGAGCGAAGAGATTGGACTTCGGACACACGCAGCATAAAGTGCGTGAAAAACACGTGGGGTGATTTAGGCCCCCTGTCACTGCTCCAAACATCACGACGCAGTGGGTATAGCATTGCCGCCAAGAATAACACAGCAAAAGGAAAGCAGCAGAGCCGAGAGATGAGAATAAGGATTCCTCTTCGATTTCTTTACGAGGATATCGTTAATCTTTCAATTACATCCGTTCATTGTACATCATGTAATTAAAAATTATTATAATTTTTTTATTTAAAAATTAAATATAAAGTAGTTGATAAAAATTATTCACACAATATAGCATAAACAATATAACTAGAGAATATTCGAATCCTCGAATCCGGACTTCGCACACACGCATACACTCTCTCTCTGTGGAAATGAAGGGAGACCCAAAATATCTGGAGGACCTGCCATATGAGTACACCAGAAGCGACTCCAGAAAGCTTCAGTCTTTCACCCTTTTATCTTCTTTCTTCACCTGTTTCTCCTGTTAGTCTTACAAAAAGTCATCACATTTCTCTCTCTCTCTCTCTCTCCTCTCGCTCTCTCTCTCTCTCTCTCTCTTCATCTGGCAATTGGCAAGCTCGGAGGCTTGGATTGCAGGTAGGATTGAATCTCTGTGTTCATGTTTTGTGCTTGTTTTTATGTTTTTAATCTGTTTTTATTGCATATTTACCATGAAAATTAATGAAGACTGGAAATTTTTTTCTTTTTTTAAAAAAATTATTTTTAATGCAGATATTAGTAGAAAATTAGAAATTCTAAATTCTGGGTTTTCTGTAGTGCTTCTGGATAACCGAAATAAAAGTCAAAAGAATTGAGCTTGAATATGGAAAAAGAACACTTCCCTTTTGACTGCCAACACCTCCTGTCTCTGGGCCCAATGTCTCATACTTTCTTCCCTTCATATTGTTTTAAATTATAATTAAAAGGTTCACTTTTTCTGGAACATAAAACTGTTTTATTCATCGACTTCCAAGATGGGGTTGGGTTGGTTGAGTCACGCTCCGTTGGTTGATCTAACACCGCAATTTGCGTGATTTCTCCTCATTTATTTATTATTTTCTACCCCTCGTGCCTGCCGGCGTCTCCGTTTCATGTAAGTCAGTTTATTATAAGCTTTTGTCGCGTCACTAGGCGTCCTCGTTTCATGTAAGTTTTTTTTTTATAAGCGTTGGTCGTGTCTCTAGCGTTCAAGTCTGTTCTTTTGAAGCTTTGTACGATTGGATGACATGAAACTAAATAGTAAATACTCCTCGGGTTTATGGCGTTTTAGGAAAAGTCTCTGATCCTACAAGTCTAGTAAACAAGCAGCTAATATGTTCTTGTGTGAATGCTTGAGATGTTGTAGGTGAATTTGAACGCGGTTGCGAAAGTTTTGATATCGAAAAATCTGTGAACATGTTGCGCCTCTGGAGCGGTTCTCATCAGCAAGTGAACGATCCGTTGAAGCACGACGATAAGGTAATGAAAAGTTTGAAAAATTTACGAGCTTTCAAGGAAAGGTGAAAAAAAAAAATCTTTCTTGGTTGAGTTTATGAATTGAAATTTATGTGCAGATCAATGAGATGAAGGCTGCGATCGGACCGCTATCCGGACGCAGTTTGCAGTTCTGCACTGATGCATGCTTCAGGAGGTACTTGGAGGCGCGGAATTGGAACGTTGACAAAGCGAAGAAAATGTTGGATGAAACGCTCAAATGGAGGTCAACCTATAAGCCCGAGGAAATCCGCTGGGTAAAATTGCTTTACTTGTTGCAATGTTTTCTGTTTCTGATGCTTACGTTTCTAGCTGAGTGTTGGTGGGATTGTTGTGTTTGTCAGCCCGAAGTTGCAAGTGAAGGCGAGACTGGAAAAGTTTACAGAGCAAGTTTTCGCGATCGTAGTGGGAGGAGTGTTCTTATACTGAGACCGGGAATGCAGGTATTGAGGGTTTGCCTAGTCATATTTCTGATTCGTTGGCTTTCACTAGGCCGAAGATTAATGCTGCTAGAAATGTTGCAGAACACGGTGTCAATCGACAATCAAATGCGTCATCTGGTGTATCTGATTGAGAATGCTGTATTCAACCTTCCCGAGGGCCAAGAACAAATGGCGTGGCTGATTGACTTCACGGGGTGGACGCTAAGTACTACCGTGCCTGTGAAATCAGCTCGAGACACCATCAATATTTTACAGAACCACTACCCCGAGAGACTTGCAGTAGCATTTCTCTACAATCCCCCACGCATCTTCGAAGCGTTTTGGAAGGTTTGAGTTCTGTTTTTCCTAGTTGCTTTTCACTGCTTCATTGAATATTTACATCTGTTTGAAGAACCAATGATCATGCTCCTTTCCATTAACTCATGATCTTTTCGCGGCAATACCAAGTTCACATATCCAATATTTCTCAGACAACCGAGTGTCAATCGCGGTTGTAATCTTGAAATCATTCCCATTGACGATAGATTCGCTAGAGTTTTTCTTATACGACAACTTGATATCTTGCCCCGTTCTGTTTGTGCAGATTGTCAAGTATTTCTTGGACAACAAGACATTCCACAAGGTTAAGTTCGTTTACCCGAAGAACAAAGATAGCGTGGAGCTTATGAAACAATATTTCGACCAGGAAAATCTCCCTACCGAGTTTGGAGGACAGGCCATACTAAACTATGACCACGAGGAATTCTCGAAATTAATGAATCAAGATGATGTGAAATCAGCTGCATTTTGGGGTCGCGATGAAAAGCTACCACATTGTGTTAATGGGCGTTCTGGAGCCGAGGTGGCTCCAGAACCGGTGAGCGTTACACCGGCAGCCAGCTGAGCCTCCCGCCCCAACTCTTAGCGCATGATCATGATGGTGCACCGGAATCCTCCATAGCGGGAGCTGATAAAGTATATCGGAATAAGTGAGAGGGACTAACTCATTGAGATGGTTCTGGAAGGCTGCAAGCTACGATCCGGCAGGAATTTTATTACTTCATGGCGGGTTTTTCTCTTGCAGGCATCGGCGAGTGCCTGTTACCTTACTACTAAACATGTTTAGTAGCTACATTATTATTAAGAAAACAAATTACCGATTTGATGTCCTTAATTGCATGAGTAAACAATAAAATAAATTATCAGGTAAAACTTTTTTTATTATAAAAAATGTTAGGATCATTTCACTTTGATTGAAAAATTAAAATCTCATTAGATGCGAGTTGGATCAATCAGCCAAGACGTAATTAAGATCCATCGTCTTACACCAAAGTTTGAATCCTTTTACAATTCTAGTTTAGGATGTAAAAATGATAAAAACACGTGCACCTTTTTTCTCCACTCATTTTAGTCCGATGGCCAAAAATAAAATCACATAAAATATGAATATTAATAAGCGATCTTTCATATGAATGCAATAAATCTTCCTTGACTCTAAAGCAAGCCAAGGAAGATTTACCATGGGAAAACAATACAGAATAACCTTTTACTAGCTTTAGAGTTCTCTCAACACGTTCGGATCCTCTCTGAATCTCGCAATTCGTAGCCGATGGACCGAAAATTCCGAACAGTTCAAAAGAGGGAGAGAGATCTGAATCCTTGATTTGTACGAGAAGAATCAATGAAATCGCCTAATGAGGACTGTATAATTTAAAATGAGACCGTCCGAATGTTTCGATCCGTCGACTCTAAACTCCGAGATCCAGAAAGAGGTCTCGATTCGTTATCGACACGAAATACAATCTTTTTTTGGGGCTCGAAATACAATCTTTTACCATTTATAAACTTTTGTCCAAATCAAAGACTCTTTATCCCTTTCTATCATACCCTTCTTCTAAACAAACCTCTCACCAATGGAGAAAACACAAAGAAGAATATGAAACACATAAACCGTCAGCTACACAAACAGTACTAAGTCAAAATCTGTAGTTCCAGATGCACGTCGAACGTAGACGAATAGCTGCCTCTCGAAATTGAGCACACAGAACACATTGACGTCCGGATTGAAAGAATCACAACATGCGCCTCTTGAAAGTTCGTGTGGTCGTTTGGTAAGTACGAACCAGCAACCCAACCCCTATACCAACTCCAAGACAAACGCCCAGTCCGATACCCACGCCAACTCTAACACCAGCATTGAACCATGAGAGTTCTCCGTCTTCACCATCCATATATTCCGTCCTCCTCCAGTACATATTGTTGTACTCTTCCTCGTTCTCCGGCTTGTAGTTTCTGTATTCTGCTACCTGCAATTCAAGAAAGGTTAGGGTATCCCAACACGTACAAATCCCAACCGATGATTAAATGATGGAGATACGAACTATAACAAATGAAAGATGCTACGATGACTAATTATTTACCCATTAGTAAGTTAACATTTCCTTCTTTAAGCAAGAGATAAAACCAACGGAACAAATTCACGAGTGCCATCTTAACCAGGGTAAATTAAAACAACCAACTTATCAAGATCACAAAGATAATAAAATGGCGCCAATATAACCTTCAGAATACTGTCTACAACTACCAAGCAGAATGTGGGGCCCGCAACAACGGACCATCCCCACGTGTCGATGGATGAGGCCGATGTAAGTCGAACACCAGAAAAACAAGGATATGAAAAAGAAAACAAAACGGGCAAATTGAATACAACCTAATCATTTGGAAACTGAGCCCTACCCATGATATCCATGTGCCACAAGATAAGGTTATGTTTGCAAGTCCTTGTTTAATAAGAAATATTCCGGGCAGGAAGCACAGGCAGTCACAAGGCTCGCATGAAAGAGTTGACAAAACGAACAATTTCACCCTACCGCTATATAGTTTTAGATCACTGGAGCCCTGCCTGCCTCTCAAAAGCGAAGAAATTGTTCAATACCTCATCTATCAAAGGAGTCCTACAGTACACAGGTGTATGTGATGCACCGGTTTTATGGATGGCTAGATTGACTGCTTAGTTTAGGGCAGGCAAATCCAGCCATTCACTGAAGCGGACACCAATGCACTGCAAAATTTTCGATATCAAATACTACAGTGACTGGAAATTAAACTTTAAAGAATTTTCCACCTTATAACAAAGAAAAACCCACCCTAGACTGAGGCATTAGATGAACGCAGGTCCCTTACAACATGCATGTATCAACACTACCATAAGATACCGGATGAATGCAACTATGGCAAAGCACCAGACAATTTGAGTTTCAAATTTTTAATGCAAAAAAATAGTTTCAATATGTACCTCCATATCAACTCCGGGCAAGACATCTTTCTGGCATTCAGTTGTCTCGTATTCAGGTATAGCATCCAACATGCTCTTCTTATTGTGTTTCTTTCTAAAATGAAGCTGCAGGGTCTTGGTTAAGATGATCGGTGTGCCGGAGAAGCACCCTGTGATGTAGACTTCAATGGTTGGTGCAGGTAATTCAGCGCCACCAAGATGTTTCCCTTTCAAAAATCCAGTACAAGCACTGATATCTGATTCACAATTCATGCTCCATCGCTTGGCATTGTTTTTTGATTCCCCAACGAAACCGTTGCTATTAGACATCTCTAACACCCCAGATAGGATGAGATCTTCTTTGTCATACACCTCAAATCTTGCACTCCCCGTCAACCTTATGCTGTCTGTATTCACAAATGTGGCCTCTTCAGATTTCTTATCTACCCGATCCCTTCTAAGATGTGAAGAAACACCTTCAGAGTGAATGCTAGTTTTCGCACCATTTACTTCCAAAAGGGTATCCGGGCTTACAGGAATATGATGGAGAGTCAGAAACTTTGGGGTCGAATCATCCACCTTAAAGTTGCTGATCCTCACATAGAAGACTCTTAAATCAAACCAAGATGAAGACAAATTACTCCAGGGCTGGTAAGGAGAGTACCGGATAATCTGGAGGTCATGATTCTCAACTTCACCATTCCTTGGACCATCCATGATTGAGAAGGGCAATCCTCACCGAAATCCCTCAATATTGATCAAAACGGCAATGTCATTGCAATAGGAACCACACAGGTTGAACTCACTGGCATACGAAACCTGCAAAGAAACAACCAGAATATGTTCGATTCAGATAATCACAAACAAAGGGGAAAAAACCCAGAAACCCGGATCGTCAAACTAAAATCCAGCCTTTGCCAGGTAAAAAGGTTTTTTTTAAGGGAAAAAAAGGAAAAAAAGACGCTTCATTTTTAGAAACAGAAAGTTAGACACCCATAAATTGTGGAAAAAATAACTCAATCTCACAACTGAAAGAGCAAAAATCGAGCTATACAGGCTAATAAATAGGATTTGAAAACAAAAAGTATATGCTCACTCTTGCATCGAACAAACACAAATCTAACTTCATAAAATCATGAACATTTTATACGGGAAATAATTTCCGCACACACCTTTTCTCCCTCTGCACACCGTTGTATATTTATAGCCTTCGAATATAAATCGAAGGAAAATCAATGAACATAGACGAGAAAAATACTGTGCAGATATAATTTCCCATTTATACTAAGTAATTAGAAGAACACAGAATGTTAGCCTAAAAGCATAGTAATCCAATCCAATTCAAATAACAAAAAAATGGGAATTAGCAATCCAAATTACAGATTAATTTTAGAGCTTTTCACTGCATGAACATAGTCCTAAAAAAAAAATAATAATAACATCAACTTTAAATAATAATTACACACAATTTATTTGAAAAGAGGATGAAAACAGGAAGACCCACCAGCGGATCCTGGAAATAAACAAGAACTGAGCAATTCACATCTACAATCTTCAAATTCAACTCGTAATTTCGTAAAATTTCAAATGAAATCAAACGAACAGAAACCCATTCTGAAATATTTGCAAGCGAATATTACAAAATTACGAAGAAAAATAAGATACGCTGCAAAAGCTGCCCAAAATTTTTCAATTCACACAAGCAGCCAAATCTCTCTCTCTCTCTCTCTCTCTCTCTCTCTCTCTCTCTATAACGAATCAAGAGACACAAATAAATGGAAATAAACAAAATTAAAATTAAAACTTACCAAGTAATTGATTCAATTCCATCCACAATCTTCAACTGCAGCTAGTGACTTCCCGAATCGCTTTCCAACTCCAAGGTCGAGGCTTTTGATTCTCCTCCCAGCCCAGAATTCGTGGCTGCCAATCAATTTTACGATTGACCCAAGTCCTCCAAAAAAAAAAAAAAAGTTGTTGCTTTTTGTTGTTTCCTTCTCTGGGTTGGAAAAAGGTTTGAGGCTTTTGAGTTTGTGGCGTGTGGATTCTGAAAGTTTACAAAGAAATCGTATGATATGGGGAGATGGGTTTTCTGAGGGAAAGGAAATCTGAGAGGGAAATGGGCGTTCACTTATCGGATTGGGGAGAGGCAGAAGAATTTGCACTCACGACGCTACTGTCCCTGAAAGGGATGGCCGATACTTAATTGCTTGGTGAGAAATTAATGGCTACTTTTAATAAAAATATCTTCTTCCTTCTTTTAAGGGTTAAATTAACCAATGATTCAAAGGAAGATTAATGAAAAAGTTTGAAAATTTAAAGTTTTTACGGTAAAGATAAAATAAAGGGTGAAGTTAACTAAGATTAATTTTTTAGTGTAAAAATATAATTTTTCATTAAATTGAACAGTATCGGAAATTTTTCGTTAAAATTTACAAGATTCAATGGAATGGGAAACTAACCCCTTTTAATTCATTTTCCTCCTTTTGTGGGGGGTTTTTGCCTTTTTTTATTGAAAGATATTTTATTAAACATCACAATAATGATAATGTAGATAATATTGTAAACTGTTAATTCAAACTCAAGTATGAATATCAGAACTATAGCTGCGTATTTATAAAATATATGCGCCATGGTAATCATCACAGAGCAATTTGACAACTATTTCAATTTTCATATTAAAAATTGATTTGGGTAACTAGTTTAAAATTTTTATTTTAAAAAAAATCAAACAAAATTTTGAAACTTTTTAATTGTTTAATTATAACTATTGACATTGCAAATGATGTTTTGCTGCAGTGGCGAAAAAAAGAGAGCATGTATATGCACTCTGGTGCATGTTCGATCTCACCAGTTTTCTCCAACAATTAACTATTTAACTCATTAACAATAATACGATATTGCTCTTAGTTACTAATCATACACAAAATGATGGTAATGATATTATAAAGAAAATTGATTTCGCACATAATTTATAGTTTCTAGCACAACAATTTGTATGTGGTCATTCAATTGAATAAATCAGACGAAAACAATAATCATCATTGAACATAACTACATAAAAAGAAGAAAAGTAGTGCATGCATTTGGAGTTTTAGTATAGTAGCGGAATACAATTCTGTCTATATAACATAGTACAAAGTTCAATCCTAACCAATCTCCCTACCCCTTAATATTAAACTTAACCCACAAACGCTATCTTTTATAAAATTAAAAAAAAATACACACACACACACAAAAGCCAATAAGCCTCCTCATATGGGCTGAAAGCTGAAATAACTGTTTGTGAAGTCCAAACCGTTCATACAGGGTTGAGCTATGGGCTTGGAGAGCTAACATATTACCCATTTTTGCTGTCCAACAACAGTCCCATCTGATTTCCGTCCAATCTTAATCTCCGAAAGAGAAACACTTGACTCCTTCACGTCGGACAATTCACATCATAAGTACGTGTCAAACTGTCATTTGCATGCTTCTTCGACGCCAAACGAGGCAAGTAGTTTCCTTTCTAACATTTGGAATATCACTTATGCATTTGGTAGCATATGGAATTTGGTATTTTCATTCTTACTCGTTTGGTATATGGTATTCTTATTAGGTGGCAAACTTAATAATAATATTTTTTTTTAAATGATCAGCTGGTAGTTTCGTCATGACAATTCATTTTCTGAGGGGTTGAGAAGACTTACAGAGGCATGTCGACCTCCCTTGGCCACTACTGTGTTATTCATGAGCGTCATGAATCGAACTCAGGACGTTCCGAGTGGAATACGAGCATGGAATTCGTCTTCAACCACTGAAGCACCCCGATGATGACTAAAATGTTTAATTACATTATTACTAACTCATTATAAAATTAAGCTAATTTCCTTCTATTTAATATACATAATATCGTTTGTTCTAAAAGAAGAAAAAAAACACGGTTAGGTTTCGAGTTGGGATGGAATAGCTCAGAAACATCGTGAGAGTGCTGGGACACATGGGGCCCATCTACCTTGCCGTCGGCATATCTTCAAAACTGTAAGGATGATGACGCGTCTATGCAGGCTTTTTCCACGCGTCGCGAGACGCGTAGAAGATACGAAGGATGGAAGACTATTACAAGGTTTGACCTTGTTGGGCGGTCAAACAAATCTTTCGGCACCATAATAAATTGGGCTTGGATTCTCTGCCCTCCTATTTCGGTGTTTTTCTCGTGTTCTTCTGTTTTGTGTGGTCACGGTTAATCCATGCAAACATTTTATATTGTTTTTTATAAAAATAATAAGACAAAAAAAAAAGTAATATAAAATATTGACGTGGCTTAACCGTGATCACACAAACAAGAGGGCACGGGGAGGGCACCGAATTGGGAGGGCAGAGAATCCAAGTCCTAATAAATTTGCCAGTTTGTCAATTTGCCACTTAATCTGATTGATACTGAGATTTCCATTTGTCACAAGAGAAATATTAGAGAGAAATGCTAAGAAAATTTTCTTTAAAAGTAGATTTTTTAATAGATTTTTTATCATGTTATGTTTTTGGTACAATTTCAAACCGCACGAATCGAATTAATAAACTAAAATCTGCTAGGTTGGGTCGGGGGGAAAGTTTGGTGGCTGCTGGGTTTTCTCCTAGAAGAGGGAGAGACAGAGAGAAAGAGAAAGAGGAAGGAAAAGAAGGACATAAATAAATAAAAATATGACCACACGATTCAAATCAAACGGCCAAAATGACTTGATCTGTAGGATTCAGAGACACATATCTAGAGAGGACCTACCTGTGGATGCAAATTTCTTCCTCATTCTTTTTGGACAAAATTGCACGTACAAAACAATTAACTCCTTTGGGTCAAGGCCAAGAGTCTCACGCGTCCACGATGAATGGGGAGGGGCTTTGGCCAAAGAACTTCTTATGCCAAAGTTAAAATTTAGAGAGAAAAATGTTTAGAGAGTTTTTGAAATTTCGCAAAAGTGTGAACTTAGGTTTTTAGAGAAAAGTGCGTAATATTTATAGGGCATTGCCGATCCTCTTTGGAGAAAGAGTGGCCGGCCCTTTATGTATATTTGGGGTCTTGTTTGGTGATTTAATTAGCAATTAATATATTGATTAGGAATACATATATTAATTGGCTAATTAACATAATAAAAGGAATGTTTTTGGGAGGTTATGTAATTTATGTGGAATATTTTGTAAGTTATGGAATGATAGCTTAATTGATTAGCTAAAAGAGGGAAAAGAGGTAAAAATATATGGAATGAGATAGTTTTTGGGAATTACCTTGTAAAAGGGATTTGATGAGATGAATTTTGAATTGTTACTTTTTTTTGGCTTTTTTGACTTGGTTGAAGGATGATTGTCTGCTGCTCGCGCATAGGAATTCTGTTGTACCTCAAGGGTATTTTTATCCTCTCTTGTCCAGAAATCCACGTGGTCTTGGTTCGTGACCTACTCACTGAGATGAGCTAACCGGTGGTCCTTTCTTGAAGTAGTGTTTGATTCTATTTCCTTGCCCTATGAATGTTGTGGTCGCGTGTTTGTGTTGGTTGGATGTTGTCTTCGCTTTATGCGTTGAGTAGGTGGTCTCGTCTTTCAATGATGACTTTTTGTGGTCTCGCTCTATGGCAATTTTGTGGTCTCGCTCTATGGCAATGATTTTATGTGGCTTATGCGATGACCTATGCAGTCGCCAATATAAGTTTGTTGCGTCTATCATGTTTTTGTAACAGATTTGTATTGATGACGATTTATCGGGTTATGGCAGTGTTTATGGTAGCCGTATAAGGGTTTGCTATTGTTTGTTTTAATGCGCTAATTTACTCCAAATAAATTTCTTGGTCCCTGGAGCTTATGTACCCAATTGACAACGTTTGTAATTGTTTGTGAAGTTCAATGAAATACACTCTATTGTTTCTTGTCAAAAACAAAAAACAAAAAAAAAAGGTCGAGAGAGAGAGAACCCATTTGGCCTTTGGTCCAACCCTAACGCCTTCAAACATTTTGTAACTCAATTAGTCAAGAGGATTTACGTTTAAATCTGACCTAAGTTCGAACGTTCGCTTCCTCTTCATTTTTCAGTATCGCTTATACCAAAAGACTATCACTAAGAACTATTATGCATTCTAAATTGCAATAAAAATTTTAGAATGTGTACAACTACTCTGAAAAAACAAAAACCCTAAAGCCCTAATTATTATCTCAAAAAACCCCTAAAACCCTGACAATCAGTCCCCTAACCATGGTAGTATATAAAATATATATGGTAGGGTTACCCTCAGCCACTCCATATATATTTTTCTCTCACTGGCTTTCGACCTCATTTCCTCGTCTGTCTTTTTCTAGCTTCTTTTACTTAGACATGAATCAGATAGAGAAATAGGTACTACCAAAGAAAAGGAAAATATAATTATTCTAGTGGCTTTTTGATAATATTTTTGCTTATTTTTTATCAATTAGAAGTAGAAGGAAGGGGGCCGGATCGAATTTTTATTGGGTCTTGGATGTCACTGGAAAGGGAAGATTTTTTAACTAAGATTTTCAGAATCCAGGTCAAAGATTTGTCTTCTCTCTCTGCTTATTCTCAAACTTGAGAGAGAGAGAGAGAACTATGAAAAATATTAGATAATACGTTCTTGAATCTTTTTCGGCTTTGTGGGTTTTATTTATTCTCGTCGGATTAAGAGAAAAGTTGTTGTCTTGATGAAAATTATCATCAAAATATTCATTATTTGATAGAGAGATTAATATTTTTATTTTTTGTTTTAATGGGGAAGAAGAAGCCTCAGAAAACGATGGAGCTATCAGTGGCAATAGCAGAAGCTTCATCAACCGGAGACGAATCCCAGCAGCAACCGCAGGCTCACAACCCAAGAAAGAGAGGAAGGCCTCGCAAGATAATTATTGAAGAGCAATCCACTGCAGTAGTAGAACAATCTGCTTCTGCGTCTGCTTTTGCTTCTGCTTCTGCAGCTGAAGATGTTGCTAAAGAAAGTGATTCCAAAAAAGCAAAAGTAGATGAGGATGATGAAGATCAAAAGCAGAAGCAACAGGAAGAGTTGCAGCAGCAGAAGGTAAACGAAGAAGAAGGTGGTGGTAAAAAAGAGGAGGGGTTTTTACCTAGGGAGCCTTCAAGAAGTAGAGCAAGGAGGAAAAGCAAGCCCAGAAAGAGTAGCCACAATTAGTTACCTCTCATGGTAATTTTTTTTTATTGTTCTTAATTTCCTCTTC